CAAAGCAGGAAGAGCAGTGAGTGGGAAAAAGGAAGGCCAGGATGGAGACAACAGATGGAGAAAGCCACACTCAAGTCCAACAAAGAGAAGGCAAGAGTGTAATCATTTCGAGACACTACAGGAAAATGAATAGTCTTCGTTTTAGAGCTTCGTACTTACAAAAGTCTCTCAGCTATTCTGAGATTTCTAAGTATTGAAGCAAAAAACATTATGATTTGAAAAAAAAAGGTACACAAAAATGAATACACAAATAAACAGATTACTGCTTATGAATAGAGTTCAATATGGAAACAGAGTCAATCTGCCAAGATCTGCCCTTCTGACAGCAGGAAGGGAAAGGTGGGCTTTGACTACTTCTCCACCCCATTCCTGCAATAAAGACCTGGGCATTTATTTCTCTTCTGATGCCTAAAGAGCAAATAATTATTTTGTAGCTGGTTTGTATCTGAAACCAGCATTTCACACTGCACACTATAGTCTTGATCTACCACAGCATGACCCCCATCATCATCTTGAAAATGCCGACACTGAATAGTCCAACTGCAAGAGCAGATGAAGCACTGACGCTTGTTCACCTCCTTTAAAAGGCAATGACTTCCCCATCAAAGCTGTGCTTTGAGCAAGGGGATCACAACTGAGGATGTGGTTGCGCATGTCAGAAGGGATTCACCTCACCTTGTAGATAAAGGCAATGGCCTGGCTTGTCCTGTGGTACTTTTGGGGTGACAGCTGCATGTGTGTTTTGATGACATCAGCAGGCTGCGTTGCCAAAGAGGCCAAGATCCCCGCAAAGATCCCACAGCCAAAATTCAGCAAGGGCATGAGCACTGGATCCAGCTGGTCTGCAACAGAGCAAAGGGAACGCACTCAGACACCATTCAGGCCAGGAACACTCATGCTGTGTGACAAAGTGAAAAGCATGGAATGGTTAGATCAACAGCAGAACCAAAGAGAAGTTAAAATCCATGCAGCTAGAGAAACCTTTCAAGAGGAAAAGTGGCTACTAGTCAAAAGTTAGCACTATTAAGAAGCCTCACTTGCTGGGGAACAGAATTTGACAGAAAATCAGAAAAGAAAAACTTGTACAAAAGTTGCCCCAGAGAGTTCCAATACCAGAGAAGCCTCAGTTTAGTGGAAACTGAGTGGTAAGCAAGACAAGCAGAAGCAGCAAGCAGTGTTTAAGACACCCTGTTTTTCAACTGTTCACTAACTGAGTTATGCATCAGCCTTCAGGAAGACAATCAATCAATTTTAAGGCCAGTCTCCATTTCTGCACTAACCTCAGCTACAGGTCTAGAGATCTACATTCTCCACAGGCAAATGTGAGTGAGTGAGTGAGTGAGTGACCCAAAGCCCTAAAGGAGACTAATTTAACTTCCAAAGTGGAAGGTAACAGGCAGAGCATGCAGGCTGCCAGCTGCAGGGCAAGATCTGAGAAGAGGAACATTTTCCACTCCAGCATCCAACATTCAGCCTCACCCTGAGGTGTGACGTTTTTGGTCTGCGTGTAGAACATCAGGTAGATGCCAGAGAAGGGCGCATCCCTCAGCAGCGTTGCTGTGAGCCCACTGAACATGCCACGAGCCCCTTCAGTCTGATAGATACTCTTCAGGGCTCCATACACACTCCCATAGCCAAATCTTCCACTCTGCAAGAGCAGACAAAGGTCAGTCATCCACGTGCCAGGCACAGGTTGAGGAGCCCTACACGCACCCTGAGGATATAATATCCAAACAAATTGCGAACTTAATGTGATGCCCAAGATGGCAACACAGAGGACAACCCAAGGCAAAAACCGGGTTTCACCTAACTCAGCCTTTAAAAGAATCCTTCAGGGAGGTAATATATGGAAGATGCTACACAAACATTGTATACAACTGAAACTTATAAATCTTAGGGCGAATTCTATTTCATCTTCTTGCTCAAATTTCATTTCTTGTGCAATGTGTGAACTGAGGTGAAATCAGGATTACATTCCTGGCTGTACCCAAGTGGCAGCAACCTTCTCCAGGCAGAAGGAATTATTTTGCATCACAAAGAAGGTGTGTGACACCATTAATAGGGGACTAATTGGAAAGTCATACCTCATATCGGGTCTTCACGACAGTCACTGGCAACATGCAAATCCCAGAAACTGCACGAGCAGCGGCACCCAGGAAAACAGACTCCAGGGCTGTGGGTGAACGGTCCACAAGAAACTTTTGCTTCATCATGTACAAAGTGCTGAAGTAAATCCCAACCCCAGGAATACATCTTGCAAAGGACTTCAGGAGAAACAGAAGCAGATGAAGAAAGGAAAAGCTTACATAAGACAAAATATACTACAAAACATTTCTGACACTGTTCAACTTGACAGGAAGCTTTGTAGAAGACAAAAATATCACTAAAGCTAACATGCTGAGGAAAGGAAATAAGGTAGAAATCATTTATGGCACTGACAGACAAATTATTCAAATGATGCCAGGATTTATTGCATTCCTCAATGTCAGTTTTCTGGAACAAGATATTCCAAACCAAAATTAAGTTATTGCAGTTGCCACACCACATTTGCAAAAGTATTCAAATGTTCAGCTGCTCAGGACTGGACATAACCAAATCAGTGAAATTCACAACATTAACTTCTTAAAATAGGATGTAATCTAAATCATGTAATTTCACTCATAATTGTACAAGAGTTGGCTATTAAATTCAGGCAGACATAATTAGCAATAAACAGTAAGCTTATCTATTTACTTATTTTTACAAGTCAGAGTTAAACCAGCCACTTACTGGAGAGACACCTTTCCAGAGCCCCAGAATACTCTCAGTACGAACAACCCTAAAGAGCAGTGTTACCATCCCAGCACGACCAGACCTGAAAAAAAGACAAGAGAGGAACTGAAGAAATGACCTTGGCAGATGTATTCCACAGCCACTTCTTTCACTCATATCTCTGTGCATTAACTCAGCATCTCCAAGGTGCTCTTCCTCAGCTCCATCTGCTCTTCTTGGTCGCTCTTTCCAGGGCTTCTCCATCACCTTCTGTATCTCACAACTTTTAACACCCATTAGCGGTTTTAGTTGCTCATTCCCTTTGCTAGCAGCAACAGATTGTAGGTTGACTACACCAAGCTGCACGCATGAAAAATTACCTGACAACCACACAGGATTTTTTTCAGGCAGAGGATACCCCATGAAACTGCACGGTAGCTACTCCAGCAAACACCAGTCTCTCAGATGAGAACAAATGTTGAGGTTACAACTTATTCCAGTGGCACTCATAACCACTCACAGACATTTTTGTTCTTCTGGAACAAAATAACAATCCTTCTCCGTAATATAAAAATATACCTCCTCTTTTACAAAGCCTGATTTCCCAGATTACAGCTCTGAACTCCAAGCCCCAGCCAGCAAATAAGGCAGAAGCCTATGGCAGAGCACCTCCAGGCCCCCCACGCAGACACATCCCCCTCCTCTCACCCATTCACAGCAGGCTGCAGAGTTTGCAGGCGGGTTTTCAGCAGGTCAAGGGGCTGGAAGAGGAGCGTGGAACAAGTGCCACTGATGGAGCCACAGACAAAGGCCTTTAGGACTGGATGCATCTGGAAGAGGAAGAATAGAACTTTAAATGGCCATTTAATTAAAAATGGCACAAGAGGAAATATTTCAGCTAATACATCACAGGCTATAGAAAGGAAGGTGTAATGACCCCAGATGTTAAGGACAGCTGCTTAGGGTATAGGAATACAGGAAGGTTTTCCAGGCCTTTTCTGAGGTTGATCAAGTTTTATTTGTGTTTTTTTGGGTTCTCTGCTTTTCCTGAGAGATTGTTCCAGAATCTCCCTGAAATTCGGTGGCTTGTTAAGAGTTTTCTGAACATCAAATGTACTAGGAGCCATTTGGTTACCCTTTGCCACAGCAAAGGAAATAGGTGTCCCCTTCTCACCACCTACCTGTACCTTTGCCGCAATCCAATCCACCTCTGCTGGCAGCACCTCCAACCCTTCCTCCCACGCTCACACCACGGTCCCCCGCTGCCAGGGGCACTGGCGGGGAACCCTGCCCAGACCCAGTCCCAGACCCAAACCCGGCCCAAACGCACTCAAAAGCCCCGCACGGCCTGCTCAGCTGAGGCTGCCTTTGCTACCCACAGCACCTGCCGCCGCCCGGCACTTCTCGGGAAATAATACCGCAGGAGGCACAGAGCCCACGGCAGGGTGAAGATTTTTAGGTGTTTAGAGAGGGTTTATACTATTATAAACATATAACGGTGTTTGCTAATGAAGAACGAGTTTCTGCGCGAATCACGACAGACTAGAAAGCACGGACAGATCAGAAGCAGAGTGGGGCACGCTCCGAGCCACCAATGGCCCCGAGGTCCGTCCAGACCCAGACCGTCACGGGGCAGGACCCGTCCCCCCGTCCCCCCGCTACCCCGAGGCCGCGGAACACGGCGCAGCAGCGCAGGGGGTGCAGCGAGCCCCCCTCGCCTCCCATCGGGGCGCTACCCCCGGCCTCTCCCCGGCAGAGCGAGCGAGGAGGGCCCGGCGCAGCGATCCGACCCGACCCAGCCGGGCCCGGCCTGGCGCAGCCGTACCTCCGCCTCCCGGCCCGGCATCCCAGCGCCGCCCGCACCCCCAGAGCGCGGCGGGCAGCGGCGAGGCCCAACCCCGAGCCAGCCCGCCCGGAGCACCGCCCCGCCCGGCGCATGCGGCTCCCGTAACCCTTCGGCCGCCGCGGCCCGGAGCCGGCTCCCCTCCCTCCTCTTTTGGCCCCGCATCGCGTGTTTGTCACGGCTTTTGGACGTTCTACACAGAATCGTAAAACGGAAAGGGGCTGAAATCGATCTCTGAAGTTCATCTTGGTCCAGCCCCTGTGCTACGGGAAGGGACGCCTCCCGCTAGACCACGCTGCTCAAGGCTCCAACCAGTGTGGCTTTGAATACTGCCAGGTGTGGGGCATCGACAGCTTCTCTGGACAACCTGTTCCAGTGTCTCGCCACCCTCACAAAAAAAAAAAAAAAAAAAAAAAAAAAAAAAAAAAAAAAAAAAAAAATCTTCCTAATAGCTAACCTAAATTTCCTCTCTTTCAATTTATACCTGCTACTCTCTGTCCTATCATTGCAGTTCCCGATGAAGAGTCCTCTCTGGCTTCCCTGTAGGCCCCCTCCAGATACTGGAAGGCTTCTATGAGATCCCCACACAACCTTTTCTTTAAGCTGAACAGCCCCAATGTTCTCGGCCTGTCTTCATAGAACAGGTGCTCCAACTTTGTGGCCTCACCTCCAACAGTTTCACGGCCTGAAGTTGGGGTCACCAGAATTTACTCAGTTCCAGCAGCTGTACTCTATATTCCAGTGCTCTGTGCTGTATCCAGCAACTGAGCCCCAGCATGCTCTGTCAGACATGGGCAGTGTGAAGGTGCAGTTCATAACTGACAGCTTTCATGTCTTCCTTCAGTTCACACCTCCCACATCCCCACAAAACCAGCTTCCTATGGATACCCGTAGTGTTGTTCAGAAACCTGAGATGCACACTGATGCATCCTTACCCCTGTTGCTAGTGTTTCCACTTGCTCATCCACATCCTGGGCCCAGAGCAGAGGAAGGCTGGCTTTCCAGAGCATTGAGGAAGTGAGGACCAAAATAAAGAGTTTCAGTATTAGACCTGTGCCAGCCCTGAGACTGTGGCTTCGCTGTGCCTGCAGAGCCAGACACTGCTTATCAGCAACAAAACTGGAGGAGCTGGGAGGAGCAAGTTAAGGCTTTGGAAGCTGCTTTTCTAAGAATTGCCTGTTTGCTGAGCCTTGGCCAAGTAAAGAATTGCACGTCCAGAACGTCATGCTCCAGGTGTTCCAAGAAAGAAAACCCTGTGTGCAGCAGTAGCCATTATGCACAAACTACTTCTCTCCTGTGCTCACTTTGCCTTGTGGCAGCCCCTGAAGAAAGAGAGGACATACTTCTCTGAGAAAATGTAACAGACAGGCTAGCAAAAGCACTTCCTTATGGACTCCCTATTCCCTTTGGCAAGCTCCTCTCTTGTTAAGCAGTTCCCTCCTTGGGTGAGTGAATGCCTTTCATTTCATTAACTAACTTTGTCTGCTGACTCATGGAAAAGATCAGCTTGTCCCCTTCCCTCCTAGTGCTTCTTTCCCCACCTCACATCTTGCTCCACTGTGCACCAACACAGGGACAGCATGCATCATCACAGGCTGCATTGGAATCTCTGCTCCACTGCCTGGAGCTCCTCCTTCCTCTCCATCTTCACCAACTGTGGCTTCTGCAGGACATTACTCTCACATATTCTCACGCTCTCACAGCTGCTGCTGCACAGTGCTTCTGAATCACAGAGGCACTACCAATGTCACCAATGGGCTCAGCTTTGACCAGCGGCAGGGCTGTCTTGGAGTCAGCTGGAACTGGCTACTGTTGAGAGTTTTTTGCAGGACAATGCACATATGCAACATATGCACAATCCAGCCTTCATAGAAACTGAGTAAGGTCACAATGCCCTTGAAGGACACGAAAGAAGAACATGCTCAGAAGCAGATGATTCAGGATGCAAAGGCAGGCAAGAAAACCGCAGCGAGACGCATGAAGAAGAAAAACTAACTAAAATGAACTGAAATATTAAAATTTGTGCGTAGAAGGATTTAACCAATCATTTATTATCTTGAGGCGTGAACAATAGAGAACAGTATAAATACAGCTTGCTTTTGCAATAAATCAGCTTCACTTGATCGTGTTGATCATGGTGTGATGTCCCATTACTGATCTTCCACAGGCTACTACCACCACAGGGGCGGATTCTGGCATCTTCTCACATAAGGCAGCCCTGTAACCCCCTTGCTACCAAAATTTTTCCTTGTAAACTCCATCTGTTATACAATTGATTATATATAAGGAAGCTGTCTGGAATATATGTATCATTTTGAAAAAGCCCCTTTGGCTATTTCTTTTGGCGTGTTTCTGGCTGTTCTGGATGGGATTGGGTAAGTAGATTGTTTAGAGGAGTAAGCTTAACTGTAGTAAGGTTGACAAACTCAAGAGATGCATTTGAAGTGTTTCTATATGGAACTGGGGATGGTGTGGCTAGATCCTCTCCCTCCGTATCTTTGGGTGGAGCAACAATTGACATTTTTGTAATTTTCTGAAGCAAGATGGCCTGCAACAACATTGGTCAAATGGCTTGCATCCCAAGAAAGAGCTCGTCCAGCATGAAACCCTGGCAGCAACAGCAGTCTCCAGGTTCTTATCTTGCTGTGGAAGCATTTTCTTCCTTAAAATAAGCCTCATGATGAACGGGGAGGTGAAACAGCACTGCTGATCTCACACATCTCTGCAGGGATGTGCCTCAATTCTGCAGGGATGCCCAGCAGAGGGAGCCGCGTCCCTTCATGTCGCTGTCCTTGTGCTCTGATAGTGTCTCATCTCTATTTAGGAGATGAAAGATGAGAGGCAAGGAACTGCCAAATCCTCGTTGGGTGGACACATCTTTTCCACATTTAATAATTCCTGGTTGCTTTCTTTTCCACTTTAGCACCAAGAGAGTTGTGAGTGCCGTTTTCATCCTGCATTAGGGCAGTGGAGATCAAGCTTCTACACTGCCAGCAACTGCTAGTAATACTGCCTGTAACAGAACAATTTGTTTCTGGTTTAGTTCCTAGTTTCAGGTTTTGTAAGAATTAATACCCAGGAGAGCTTGGCTTTTATGGCTTGACTCACACATTAAACTTTGACCTAAGGTCACACTGCCCACCATGTCTGAGGAAAGCTATCCACTGCTACACATGCAATAGTTGCAGATTTTCTTGGTTCACAGAAACTTATCCCTCTGCCTTTGGAGTGATGGTGAGAGAAGGTGGACATCCAAAGTGTTTGAGAAATACAACAGACCATTTCACATGGAAATTCTAGCATCCATCCATCAGCACCTCTATGGACTGATGCCCAGTGAAATGCTGTTTGTTTAAAAACGAACAAAAAGATGATGTGACTTGTTGCAGACAGGTAGAAATATTATTTTAAAAAGGTCTTATTAAATATGGTTTAGGCCTTTCTACTCTAGTTAAGCTAGCAGTAGCTTGTAAGTTCCCATAAGGAAAAATCATAAGACTGAAGACAGTTAACACAACAACCTATTCTAGTAAGAAAAATAAGTTTGCACCTGCATAAACAATAGATCTGTCCCATGAGAATCAGTGAAGAAAATATGTCAACAATCCAAGAATAGAGAGATTTGATGGAAAGGTAAAATGCCAGTTATTAACCAACTAATTGAGCGGCAAGAAAACTAGAAGCGAATTGAAGTTGAACACAAGGTCTGTGAAAACGGTATAAAAATGAATTATGTGAATAAAGAATTGGCTTTTTCTGCTTGAGGAAACTGAGTCCCTTCTATTTCTTAATGCAACACTACTTGCCTGAATTTCAGTAATGTGCCAAGCTCTAGTGAGGAGCAGCAGTATTTAAGGAGATAACACACACTTCAAATGTTCCCTGTTGCTCAGTAGAGCTGCTCTTTCCCCTGTATCTTGTGTTGTGGGGAAGATCGGGGACAGTTGTGGGATGGAAGCTGTGTTGGGTCTGGATGAGGTCACAGTGAGTATGTGATAGGGTTGGAGGGAATTCAGGGCTGTTCAGGGCTTTATTTCAGGGCTGTTCAGCTTTATTTCAGTTAGTCTGTGAGAGCATCCTGCAGCATGCGTGTTCTGGGAAGAAAGGTTCAAATGTACTTGGCAGTGTTAGGATTACAGTTGGACTCAAGGATCTTAAGTGCCTTTTCCAACCTAAATAGCTATGATTCTATGATCATTTCCCTTAGGTATTCCCATCTGTGCTTGGGTGGGTACGGGTGGAATGTGCCTTCCAAGGAAAAATGAAATGTTAAAGCAAACATGGGGCCCTTTGCCATTGCTGGCTATTGGCAGCATTGGGCCATCCCCCTCAGCCATCTTCACCAAAAGTCCTAGGAGCAGGGCAGAGACATCACTACTTACTCTCTCCTAGACACTGGAACTGCAGAGCAGGGACAGCAGGTGCAGGACATGCAGGTGGGAGACAGGAGCACTTCAAAGACGTGAAGGAAATTGCAGATTTCTTCCACTGAAGAATGTAAATGCTCAAAACGAAAACTTTGTGATCATACAGAAGATAAAGCTGACATTTCCGTTCTGTAGGTGTTAAATGCAGAGGCTGGACTCACTGGCTTGGGGTTTCATGCATCTTTAATATAACAGAGGTCACACAGAGGAAAAGCGACTTTAGGACTGTGCACTGCCACAGCAAGGACCTTACTTGTGACTTGGCATTGCAGCATAAGCTAAGGTAAATATTGCCAGCCTATATTCACAAAGGTATGCCTGCTTCTTAAAAATCCATGATATAAAGACATTTTTTTGCACTCTTTCAGACACAGTGTTGGATTATGGAGCAGAATTTGACAGACCTGCTGGGCAGCATTGGCTCTGAGAACATATTGGTGAGTCACTCCCTGCTGGGTTGCTCTCCTGCAAGCCAGGGCCAGTAGCACATTTTAGAGGTTCAGTTTTTCCTATGGGACACAGTGGAGATAGTGGACATTCAGAAGAAATCAGTGTGATAGTTATTCTCTGGAAAGAAACAAAATGCGGGGTGAAAATATCTTTAGCTGATGACACTGTGCTTGTGGAAGAAGACTGTTCTTGAGGGCAGAGATAGTGCTAGGAGTGTCCTATGGAGGACATCCTGACAGGGATGCTGCTATCCATCTTTAATTGTTTGCTGTCACAAGTACTGCTCAGGGATGTGGTGGCTGCCTATAGGGAGTGGGCAAGCTGCAAGGGGCTGGTGAGCAGGAAGAGGACTTGCCACTGCTGCTGGTGCATCCCATTTCTGGCACTCACCTAACTGGAAACAAAGCTTTTAGGAGATGAGTGTTACTATGTCAGTTTCTCCCTGGGCCATGCTCCCTTTCTCCTTTCAGAAGGAAACATAAAATAGGACCCCAAAACCCCTATCAGGGGCTCTCAGCCTCCTGGCCATGCCCATGTCATTTCTGGTTTGGGATGCTCCCTGTCTCTGGCCTCAGTACCCTACATGGACTCAGGCATGGGCCATGGCCCCACATGATGCCAGCAGGAGGATGCTGGTAATCTCTACCACCACAGCTGTGTTTTCCTTGATCTCCTCTGCCCCTGTGATGCGCCAGGATTCATCCTCAGTCTTACAGGAGGATGGCCAGTCACTCGTGTTCATTCCTCATTTACATCTTATACTGCAGCTGTGGCACATCTATTTTGTCCTCATGCAGCTTGGTGTGAGCTGACTCGTGCCTGGTATATCTGCTAATGTGGGATTTAGCTCATATGAATTTCATTGTCCTTGAACAGATGAGTTACATCTCAGCAACACCTAACTCCTCTGCAGCCTATGAATATGCCTTCTACTACTCAGAACTACACATCATCTGTCATCCTGAAGGTATTCCAGCATTTGCATCTACCTTATTTCCAGTGCTGTACTCCATACTGTTTGTGGCAGGCCTCGTGGGAAATGCTTTGGTTGTTTGGATTCTGACAGTCTCCATGAAAATCAAGACCATGACTGATGTCTATCTGCTGAATCTGACTGTCTCTGACCTCCTCTTGGTATTCTCCCTGCCCTTCTTAGTTCAGTACTCCATTGTGAGCCAGTGGACTTTTGGAAATGCACTGTGTAAAATCATCAGCTCAGTTTACTTCATTGGTTTCTACAGCAATGTCTTCTTCATAACCATCATGAGTGTCGACAGGTACTTGGCCATAGTCCACTCCCTCCATGTCCAAGGGATTCGGACAGCTGCCGTTGGGTTTATCACCAGTCTGGTCATTTGGGCAGTTGCCATTTTAGCATCAATGCCAGACTTACTTTTTTTCCAGGAAGTGAATGACAATAACCAGATTAAGTGCCTCCCTCACTATCCTGATGGCAACAATGGCTGGAAGACTTTCAGTAATTTTTTAGTCAACATCCTGGGGTGGCTAATCCCTGTTGTTGTCCTCATTTTCTCCTATCTCAGCATCTTGAAAAACCTTCAGAAGTGCCATACCAAGAACAAGTACAAAGCAATTAAACTGGTTTTTATTGTTGTCATTGTGTTCTTTCTTTCCTGGACCCCTGTCAACATTGTGCTGTTTTTGGACTCTCTGAGGAACATGTCCATCATCGATGACTGCCAGACAAGCCAAAGGCTAGACCTAGCTGTGGAGCTGACTGAGGCACTCTCCTTTGTCCACTGCTGCCTCAACCCAGTCATCTATGCTTTTGTGGGTGAGAAGTTCAAGAAGCATCTCTGTAACATTTTGAAAAAATCTGCATGTTTTCTGTCGAACTGCAAAGGCTGCGGGGCTTTCAGTGGGCGCAGCCTGGACAAGCACTCCTCTCTGCACACAAAGTCCTCACAGTTGTCTTATGTTGGCACTGTCTTGTAGAACAAGTCCAAAACTATCATCCTGGACAGGTGACCTAAAATTGAGAAATCCTCAGCTGCGCATCCACAGCCATGGACTGTTTGAGCAACCTTTTAGGACACAAAAAGTAGAAGCAGCTGCTTGATTTTGCTTTTATTGTGGTTGATTTTGGTGTTCTCACTTTTTAGATTTTTTTTTTGCATCATCCTCCCTTTCCCTTGGCACCTCAGGCCTTGCTTGCTTCATGAAATTACCAGCAGACTCCCACACTGCCAGAGCAACATGGAGAGGTACCTTAGAAACACACCATCCCCCCTTCAGACTGAGTACTGAAAAGAACTGTTTATGTTTCCAAACCCTGGACACTTGGCCATTCCTTCCCTCGTCTCAGCAGAGTGTGCTGGCTTTGTGAGCAGGGATGGAACTTGCTCCAGGAGTGGGAACCTGCTCTTTGGAGGGAAATGGGGCCCAAGCTTAAGGTGTCGTGCCAGGGTCTGGCTCCCAGTTGACAGATCTGAACAGTGCTTCCAGCTCCAGAAGAGCTTAGTGAGTGAGTAACTGGATAAGCAACCAAGAAATAAATGCTGTCCATGTTTTGGTAAAATCAATATCAATTAATATCTAGGTATCATCCTGACTCCCCATCTGCTACCAGGGCTTGCAGCTTCTTGGCTGGAAGGGTTTGAAGCTGTAGTTCAGAAATGATGCTGTGAATGTCAAGCAATAGCTCCTACGGGAATGAATGAGTGCTGTAGGAATGGATGGAGAAATTGTTACCAGGAAAAAGACTGAAGAATGGAAAAAATAGTGGGTGTGAGCTGTCACATGTCCCTGTCAGGGGACTTTCTGAGCATTTCTGAACTTTTTGAACTGGTAACTGGTGTGCCAGTGTGGTCACTGCTCTTGAGCAGGCAGCTGGGATTGACATTCCAGTTACTGTTCCACCTTGGAATGACTGATTTTATATATGTGAATGGCTACCCATTCGTATAGATATATCTATATGTATCTGTATATATAGAGCTATGTACATATGCATGCATATCTATACTTGCCCATGTGTGTATATATACACAAATACACACCCATATACCCATATATATACTTTTATATGTGCAAATACTGTTTGATAAATGCAATGGCTTTCTAAAGCTTTTTGTTCTCTTCTATTTGTCCTACAAGATAGCACCATACTTTAAGTTTCATAATAAAGATACTGTGTGCAATATAATTGCACTATCTTTACATCTGAGGAACCTGTCTCATCATTATTTGTGTCAGCATCTGCATTTCATTCTGTCCTGGACAGTCTACACAACTGATAGTCCTTCCAGCTGCCTCTTCTCTGCCCCCCCTTCAGGTCAGCTGCTGCCTGGTCCCAGCTGCAGGATCACTGCCTGGCACAGCAGTACAGTCTCTACCTTTCAGGTGCCTTATTGCCAGCCAGGCTTTTTTTGGATATGCAAACCCTCAGGTTCTCTAAAAAGGGTTTCACAAAAACTCAGGGCAAAGCCAAAGGGTGGTGGGCAAGAGGGTGGCACCAACTCTCTCCCCTGCAGGTTCACAGTATGAGCCCTCTAGAGCACAGTTCACTCAGCTGAAGCACAAGAGGTGGGAATGATTTCTGCAGCCTCAGCAGTCTCACCCTGCACCCCTTGTGTGAGTGCTTTGGGACATGTGCTGGAACCCATTTGCCCAAGCTGACAAGATGATGATGGCCTTTCTCTGGTTGTGAGCAAGTCTGCTGGGGGATAGGATATCTTCTTCTGCTCAGAGGTTTCATTGATTGCTGTTATATAGCTGTTGGAGGGAGGCTGTGATCCAGGGCTTCCCCACAAGGGCTGTAACCCAGTGGCGTGAGGGTAGCCTAAACATGCAGAGCCTTCTTTGAAAAGTCTTTCACTTTTTGAGCTCTCACTGGAGGATATCCTGCCCTGTTGTTGCCACAACACCTTCTAGCAAGGAAGCAGGAGATGCTTTCTGCAGCTTAAAGGGTTTTTCTGCCAGAGGCATCTGGCTTCGGTTTTATCAGCAATACCAGGAGCTCTGAGTTGGACCTGACCTCAACTTCTCCTCTCTGCCCAACTGCTTTATTCTGGTACTGCTGCCTTCCTGTGCAAAGGGAGAAGGTGATACCCACATCCGGAGAGTGCTTTGCTGGCAGGAGCTGCCCTGTGTTGCTCTAGGTGGCCAGAAGCACTCCTGTGGGTCACAGAGCTCCTCTGCTTTCTGAAGGGAAGAGCCTGGCACAGTCTGCTGCCCTTCCAGTGCCTGTGAGAGCATTGAGAGCAGAAGACATCTTCCTGTATCTGTGTGCAAGCTGACAGCTTGAGGAAAATGCCAAATTTTAGGGTTTTCCCAAGAGCGGGGATCACAAGAAGCTGAAGCTAAACCATCCTGCACAGCCCTGGTGCCTGTTCACCTACTTGCATAAAAAGTACCCAGCACAGCTGCTCCACCACAGCTGTTCCACCACAACTGTTGTATGGCTCCTGCTCATATCTGCTGCTTAGCTTCATATCCTGATCTTGCTTTTTCTTTCTGCTGAGATAATGCAGGTTAAAGAGGATTTAGAATGATGTTGGCACATGAAACAGTCAGATGTAATCATGTTTTGGCCTCAGCACATCATCTTAAAACAGAGACCAGAGTAACTGTTACCCACATTCAAGCTTAAACCTAAAGTACATACTTGTTTTCTTTTGATTTACTGGTGTTACTTGCACCAGAAGGTCCCTTCTACAGAGGGTCTCTTAGAAAGATGGAGACTTTGTCTGATGCCACTCATGATGCTCTCTGAACATCTGGATGGAAAGGCCTTGACAGGCTGGAGCACTGCAGTGGCATCAGGGGTGCTCATCACTTCCCACACTGCAAACATATGCAGCAGTTGTATGGGCATGTTTAAGGACCATGCTGTTCAACTACAGCAGCAAAAAGTGGGATGTATGAGGGAGGACATGCCAGCTTATGATGTTGCTAGATCCCTCAGAAAATAGTGTCAAGTGGGACCTAGCAGATTGTTCCTCAGCTCTGAGCTGCAGGACTGCCACTTTAGCACAGATAATCATAGTCTGTTGTCCCAAAACAGTAAAATGTCCTGGAGTAAGAAACTAGTCCATATCCGGCTTTTTCTGGCATTATGCTGAAGCCTCCTTCCCAAGGCACTATGGAGACAAACTTATTAAATCCTTGGCAGAATCTCTGGCCTTCAGGTCACTTCTTCAGGCCAGTGGACGCAGTCTGGGGATGAGGATGAGACTGACTTGGTGCCGTCTGGAGGAGCCCTGCCAGCCAGCAGCACAACTCTGCTTCTTTCTGCTGTGGTAACATCTAGCTACAGCTGGAGGTCAGAACCAGGCAAAACTGTATGGAGGGGAAAAAGAAAGGTTAATGAAGGGTGTTTGTGTACCACTCTTCTCTTAGCTGAAGAATGCTCCTGTGCAGGGATGGGTCTCTACATTAGCATACATGAAACTGCCCAAGCCTGACTCCCCAAGTTAATTGTATCATATCCAGGAGAATTCTGTTTTATTTTCAGCCTCTTGAAAACACTTTTTATATATACAACTATATGTGTACCAATTATGAAGCAGCATGGAAATTGCTGACTGTGCCAAAAGAGGGTCCAGAAAGGTGCCTCATGACAGAAGAAGAAAAAAACCCATGACTTTAGCTATTCTGTCCAGATATAAAAATAGTTTGGGAAGTTGAAAGGTAATTATAACTTCAGTCTGAATATATCAGGTTTAACTGTAATGTGTGGGCTGATATTTATATTTGGTTAACATACCTTAAATGTTAATGTCCCTTAAAAGGCAGCAAGTAATACTGGGCAAAGCAAAGCTGCCCCTGTAGTGCGTCAGTTTTGACGCACGACTTGTGAGCAGTGTGCTTCTGCTCTAGGTAAATCTGTGTTTCTGCTGACTTGGCTGAAATGCCAAAATGTACGGAAACAGGTCACAGAATCCCCACCTCAGAACAGCACTGATTTAGGTTCCTACAGCCTCTGCTGACGTGTGTGTCTGCTGGGGCCTCATTCTGACCCCACATAGCTCTCCGGGCCTCTGGGTGTCCCTGCAGCCCTGCTGTGCTTTCCAGCAGCCAGTGCAGCCAGTGTAATGCTGGCGTCAGCAGCTGGGTCAGACTTACCACACTGAATGAGATCTATGCAAGAGAAAAGTACCACCAAGCAAACAGCAGTGCCAGCTGTGTCACCCCAGCAAACAGTTTTTCCTCCCCATGCTCCGATATCCAGGCAGATTTCCCACGAACATTAATGAATGTGCATGCAGGTCTGCATTGCCAAGACATTCATCCCTTTCTTCACCTGGCATCCTTGGAGGATGTGCAGTCTCTGTGATCCTCCACATGCCTGAGTTCAGAGAAGGTGTGAATGTGAGGATGGACAGAAGGAAGGAAGGAAGGACAGAGCTCTGGCCTACCAAAGACTGCCAGGACATTGCAAAAGTATTGATTGCCCTTGGTGTTTGAGTCAGCACCAACCTTGACTGCAGCCCGCAGCAAGGTAAAGAGAGCAGTGTAGCAAGAAATGTTTGCAAACCAGCTGCCTTTCCTATAAAACAAGGGGTAGAGGAAACAGGTCTTGTTCCCTAATGCTCAGGTATTCAACTGGGCTGAGAGCAAAGAGCAATGCTGAGTGATTTTCTTGCAAGGCAGACAGCATTTCCAATCTCCTCTCTCCCTATGTCTGCATCTGTCTCTGTACCCATGCACATCTTGCACCACCATCTCTGCACATCTTGGTGTCCCCAGCACCACCCTTCCCTGAAGTGTGCTCAGCTGCAGCCCTGCAGAGAGAGGGTGGTGCTGGTGCAAGTGTACCCAGCAGCTTCAGCCCTCATAAGCAGCACAAGGGAGAGAGAGGGGAGGGGGGGGAGGGAAGGAGGGAGGAAAGGCATTTCTTTATTCAGCATCTTGAACAGCAGCTTGCTGTTGGAGTGTGGCTCTGCAGCCATTCCTCCTCCCTGGATGAGCCTGGGAGGGAAGGGATGTGGTTGCCCAGCCAAAGGCTTCTTCTCATCTTTCTTGGGCCTTGCTGTTACTGTTGGAGCTGACCTCACAAGCAGGGCAGCCTCACAACGCACTGTGAGCAATCATTGTAACTCAGGTACACCCTGAAACAGGTGGTTCTGAGCAACTCACAGGCACATCACCTATCCCAGGGGAGGAGGACACCTGCAGGAGACCTGGCTGAGCCTCTGCCACCTCTCCAGGGCAGGACAGCACCATATCTGTGTGATAGCTGGAGCTCAGGATCACAATGGGGTCACCAAGGCATGAGTGAGCCTAAGCACTAAACTGTTTCAATGCCACTATCCCTTCTGTGACATTTCTAATGTGGGAACAAATGTTTCTCTTAATTTTTGATATCTGTTTGAGCCACACTCCTTCTGCTTTCAGAAACTGTGCAAACATTCAGCTTTCTGTCACTCTTTCCTTCAGCAGCCCTCAGGATGAACATTTTCATCCCTAGACATGACTTCTCTCTTCCTCACTCTGGGTAATTTCTGCATCCCCACCTTTGTAATGTAGAATAAATGCAGCTCCCACCCGTTGCTCCCACCAGAGCTCAGTTGTCTTCTTGAATGTCTGCAGAACAATGACATGAAGGGATGAAGCTCTATCTGCTGGGTTTTGTCTGAAAAGTGAGGCACAGGAATGATTTCTGTGATTTTTGGGTGTGTCTGTGTGTGAGCAGCTGGTGCTCACATCTGCGCTAAAAGCTGCTGGGTGGGCTGTGCTGCAGGACAGCATGGGAGGAACAGGACGCCGATGTGGCAGGGGTGCAGTTCCAGAAGTGCCTCTACCCAGCTGACAAAAAGATGAGAGTTTTGGAGAAATTATAAGAGAAAAAATGTCCAGCAGGGGTCAGTGCAGCCATGGCTATGGTGTGTGTCATGCTGCTGTGCCACGCAGAGCAGTTCTGCACCCCAGAACTCCTGTGGGACTCAGGGGCCCCATCCTGGGAGGATGGTGCAGTACCCCCAGGCCACTACTGTTCCCCACTGGCCTGCAGAGGGGACTCCAGTGAAACTCTTGAGAACCAAGAGAGCCTCTTTTCATAAAAAATCACCATCATCAGGCTTTCCTCCATGGCAGTAAAAGCAGAGTGTGCTGGGGAGAGCAGCATTTTGATCCTTCAGACTAGACATTTCTCTACTGAGTGCTTTAGTCCACAAATCTTGAA